AGAGAGAGAGAGAGAGAGAGAGAGAGAGAGAGAGAGAGAGAGAGAGATGAATAGATAGATAGATGGGGAGAGAGAGAGAGAGAGAGAGATAATACATACATACATACACACATACATACCATGAGGGAGAGAGAGAGAGACATAGATAGATAGATAGATACCCTGTTTCTCCAACAATACGGCCTCCCCCAATAGGAAGTCCCAGCATGTTTTATAGGCATGAAATGAAATTAAGCCCCTCCCCCCATATTAAGGCCTATATTAAAACATGCGAAATGGGAGAGAATGGTGGGGGGGCTTGCCGTTAGGAAGTACTTTTGTTGCACACCCGGATATGGTGCTGCCTGCGTTGACCCCGATACGAAATGCCCCACCAACACCGAGGTCAACATCCAATCCGTCGCTGCCCGCCCACCCGAAGATGCAAGGGGGGGAATTAAGTCACCCCCAAAAAGACGGCCTAGCCATTTTTTCGAGGCTCAAAAAAAAATAAGACCCGGCCTTATTATATGAGAAACACGGTAGATAGATATAGATAGATAGATAGATAGATAGATAGATAGATAGATAGATAGATAGATAGATAGATAGATAGATAAAATATATACACACATACATACACACACGTGTGTGTGTGTGGATGGAGTGGGGAGGGGGGGAGGGAATGAATGAATCACAAAGTTGCTAAAGTGGGCAGCAGTTGTTAAGAACAAAGGACTTGTGCACTTCTGTCACCTCGTTTTTGGGACAAAGAAGGGAACAGGTTACTGCTCCATAGGATTTTTTTTTTCTATTATTTTTTAAAGTGGGCTTCAACAACCTTTCCATTAGTCTGACACTACTAGATGAGGGGCAGTCAAGTAGGCAGACTCTCTTCAGACTGTTTGAAGCTATCTCCCTCCAATGGTTTAGAGTCTGGCATATGGTCAGAGGAGTACATTGAGTATTATTACAATGAATTAAGCAAATGCATTATCAGATTTTACAAAGATAATTTTGAAACTTGCAGCAGGCTAATTTGTAAGCATTTTATTATAATAAGGTAGCCACATCTCTACATACTTCGGGCCTTAAATATATCTGCAGCAGAAGTAAAAGGAAGAAAAAAAATCTCCTGCACAGACTCACAAGTTGTTCTAGCGAAACAATGATAGGTATGGCAAATTAAGGGTGGCCTCTACGGGTGGTCCTTGACCTACGACCATAACTGAGTTGTAAACATCTGTGACTAAGCAATGCGGTTGTTAAGTCCTGTCTGATTGCGCTACATTTTTTTTTGCCATGATTATTAAGTTAATCAGACTGTTGTTAAGCAAATCCAGCTTCCCCCATTGATTCTGCTCACTGGGAGCCCCAGGAAGGTCACAAATGGTGATCACATGACCCTGGTACCCTGCAATAGTCATAAATATATGTCAGTTTTCAAGCACCTGAATTTTGATCACATGACCTTGGGACAGTGCAATTATTGTACGTTTGAGGACCAATTGTAAATCACTATTTTGAGCACCATTGTAACTTGAAGTGGACATGAAACAAATGCTCGTAAATCAAGGACTATCTGTACTGGACACAATTAGGAACTGCTTCAATTGCTAACAGTGGGTGACATAACCCACTTCTTTGTGGGCTTGTTGGCCATCCTCTAGGAGGACAGAGTTGTCTTACTGAGTTGTTCTGCTTCCTCTAAATTAGCCTACTGGTCTTGGATGTGATGGAAGATGCTCCCCTAACACCAATTTTACCTAGAAGTAAAATACTACCTGCTATCTTGTTGACTCCTAATGGAAGGAGAGTTCATTTCATACTTCGCTTATGGCACCAAAATATCTGAAATTAGCTTTACAAAACCCAGAATATTGCTTTTCTTCCCTTTTACCCTACACACAAAGACTATTATACAATTAAGATAATGTTAACTGAATGAGTACATGTATTTTATTTGCTTAGAGGACTTTTTTTTAAAATGCCTATTAATGCCCCATATCTGCCAAACTAGATCTGCCAAACTAGGACATAATTTTTAGTGGGTCAAATATTTTTAAGATGATTAGCGTGATTAATAAGATTCCTGGACTTGCAACAGCGTTCTTAAAATATATATCTGTTCTCTGAAACATTTTCAAAAAAGTAATTAAACTCTACAGTGTTAAAGCTCACCTACCTCTTGCCTTAAATAGTGAAACATCTGTTACAAGAAGAGGTTCACCCAAAGTTAATTTCTTGCTTCTCAAAGTGCCTACATTAGCTGATTGCCTAGAGGACAACATCCTCTTAGAAATAACGACAGGGGTTATTAATGAAATCAATTTTTGATTAAATCAAAAAGTACTCACGCTTTTTTAATATCATCTAAGGAAGCAGTCTTGGGAAGGCCCAGGGCCTCATAGTACTCCACCATGTTGAAGAGATGTTTTCTGCAGAATCGGTGAGGATGTAAACACAGTCAAACAGAGATGTATTAAGAAGTCTCTAGATGTTCAACCAAAATCTTTGAGTTTTCAACTGAAGTTACAGGTGGTCATGGCCATTCACCAGGTTGGGTAAGCCCATATGGAGACGCAAATGGTTGGATAGTTGATCCTACAACATACAGAAGAAAATGACATGCTACTCAAATATATATTAGCTTCTCCAAAGACATGAGGGGAGGGGAAATGAACCTCCATGTCCCCTATTGATGAAGGTTAGTATTTTTGTATTACATAGAAAGACAGAAGATCTGCAGACAAGACAACGGTGATTAAAAAACTGCTGATATCACACCTTTCCTAGAGCTAATCTCTTAGATACTAAGGCAGAGGTCTCAAAACTTGGCAACTTTAAGACTTGTGGACTTCAACTGGCTGGCTGGAGAATTCTGGGAGTTGAAGTCCACACAAGTCTTAAAGTTGCCAAGTTTGAGAACCCCTGTACTAAGGGAAGAGTGAGGAAAAAAAATAAGATACATTTGAAGAAAACAAAGATCCCCATCCACATGTAGGGAGGTGCTTCCACTTTCATCATGATCTACTAGATCATCTGCCATTTCACTGTCCACCCTTTCCCAATTTTGTGAGTCTCTGTCAGGACATTAAACACTTTTTTATAAATCCATTAGTGCTTAACATCCTTTTTTCTCTTCTTCCTATCAGCAGTTCAGTTCTACTACTAGTTGCTCCTTCTGCCCGTTTTGAAACTATTAATTTCAGATAAGAACAGTGCCTGATTAAATGTGCTGCTTGAGGTTTTCATGTTTTTGTGTGGCTCAGAAAAATGGGATAATTAACAGTTGGATGAAGCATATTAGATTTTCATTGGTTCATCTCCACAGTCACACAGGAGCTGAGTCTGCACAACATATTTAAACTTGGCTTCTAAATTGATTTCTCTGGGATCACACAACACAATCAATCATGCTAAAGTAATCATGCTATTTGAATATATAATCTAAGCCACAATAAAACAAACCGGGGATAATTTTTATCATGCTAAGCAACACATCTTTAAAAAAAAAAGGAGAATTCGGGTTGTTGGTTTGGTTTTCTTTTTCAAGTTTGCTGTACTAATATTTATTTATTTCATTTAACAATATATATATATATATTGTAAAAATATCTAGCCCTATTTAATACAAAGTTCTATAAAGTGTCAGTCTGGATCTCAATTACAGGGGCCACTTTTCCACTGGTCTCTACAAGGAAGAGGATTGAACACTTTGAAGAAAGTGAAAATCCTCACAATTACTTTCACTGTAAGAAAAGTAAAAATCCACACAGCTGAGTACATGTAACAATTCTATACACAGCCCTGCTACTGGGTTGCCTTTTTCTCTTATGGACTAGTTTCATGTTTTCTGTCCACCTATCAAAACCCAAAGCAGTTGGGTACCTTATTGTAGAGGGAAAAACTGTCCTGGCTGCATGTTGGGTCCAGTTCTGAGATCTTGCAGGTGTCAGCTCACACCTACACACACCGTTGCTGACTGATCAGAAGGTCAGAAGGGAAAGGAATTCAGCAATAGCCAATCACCCAATTCCTTTTCTTTTGCAAAACAGCAGTAGCAACAAGAACCAATGGGAAGTTTGACCTGATTATGATGTCACTTCTTTGTATTTTTCATATGGGACATTATAAACTAACCATGGTTCTCAAGCAGGGGAAAGTGAGAAAAAAATGTGTTAATGCCCATATTGCTGCTGTTTCATTCAATTTTAATGTAATTACAAGAGTTAATAATCACTGAACTCAAGTGTCAAAATCAAGGCCCGGGGGCCAGATCCGGCCATGGGGTGCTTAAGATTTGGCCTGCAGGGCCACCCTGGAAATAGTGAAGGACGGCCCACAGTACCTCTGCCAGCGAAAACAGAGCTCAGGAGGGCCACACGTGATCCTCCCAAGCTCCATTTTCGCTGGCAGGAGGCCGTTGCAGCTGAAAACGGAGCTCAGGAGCCCGTTTTAACTAGCAGAGTGCTTGGGTTACCACAGGCAACCTCCCGGCACAAGTGATGTCATGCTGGCCATGCTCACTCTGGCCACGCCCACCCCGGTCCCCCAAGGTCAAACACAACCCTGATGCAGCCCTCAATGAAATCGAGTTTGCAGTAGGGCTTCCTCCAGTTCTGAAGAAATCTAATATCTCAGCGTACTTCACACTGACCTCAGAATGAGCTGTGAGGTTGACTGTGCCTTTTTAAACCTGATGGATTATCTTTGCTTGGAGAACAACAGAGGGAGCATGACTTTATTTTTATTTTTTGTTAGAAATTTATAAGGCTATCCAACTGTGCAATGATTCCAAGTCTTTGGCACATAGCAAAGACAATCACAAAAAATAAATGAAAATCCCAAATCCTAAAGAAAGACAACCATGAAAAAAAAACCTATCAGACACAGAGGATTAACTAACCCATTCTAACCCACAATCTGAGAAAACAGCCAGGTTTTCAAAGCTCTTTTCAACATAGACAAATTTATTGGGAGGAGAGTGTGTGGAATGATGTTCTATAACAAAATGTTGCAATAGCTGATCACAGCCCCTAGGTAGGGGTTCTTCACGTTGGTACTTCCCTAAAGAGAATTGACTAATTGAAACAGAGCTGCTGGATGACAATATCCCACGGGTGTCAAACTCATTACGTCATGTTGCTGTCACATGACATATTGTGATGTTTTTTCCTTCGCAGAGCTGGAGTGGGTGTGGCCTATACGTGACACATCCGGCCTGTGGGCCACCAGTTTGACACCCACTGAATATCCCAGAGTGCTAGGAAGAGGAGTAGTACTGCTGTTTTTCCTCTTTTATCACCACATTTGATTATTCCAGTCAGCTTAGCAGCCTAACCCAACATGAGGGCTCAGCCTGAAGTAGCATTTGCCTTGTGGCCTCCCTATAATTTATTCCCAGGAACAAAAGAGGGCGGCTGCTAGTAAAAGAGCCATCCATCTGAACTATAATGAAGTAAATGCCTGCCTGTGTGTTCTATTTTTTAAATAATATTACACTTATCAAACTATAAAAACAAATGAAAATTAAAATAGTGGGGAAATGAAAGGGGAGAGAAATAAGTGCAGAGTAAAGAGGAAAAGGAAAGAAAAACATTGACTTTTTTTAGTGCAATAAAGTAAAATAATAACATTGCAGCCTCAACTTTTTACTTTTACATTCTTAATATGTGCTGGCCATTTCTATAACAACAAACTTATCTAATCAACAAAATCCCAACTCAAAGTTTCATTTTTTTTCCATCTCAAGCTCAAAATCCAGAAGCTGTTTCCAAGTTCCTGGTGTTTTATTTTTCAGAGGGAAGAAAGTGCCTTCTTAAGAGAGCTGTTATGTTTAGTAACATTTGCTATGAAGAAGATAGCTTCTTTTTCTTTTTTCTAAAAGCAAATAAATTCCTATTTGCTATAAATAGAAGGAAAGTGAAAAAGCTTAGGAACAATCCCACACTGAAACCTGGAGTCTCCTGGACAAAATATTTAGGCCAGTGGTTCCCAAACTTTCAGTCCACCGCCCCCTTGGTGCTACAAACTCATCCTCAATGCCCCCCACGCAGGGGCGGGATTCAAATTTCTGTGGGCATGGCCTAATTTGAGGGTGTGGCTTGCTGGTAACGTGATTAGGTGGGCATGGCTTGCTGGTCACATGACTGGTGGCGTGGCTTGCTGGTCACGTGACTGGGTGAGCGTGGTTTGGTGACTGGCAAACCAAATACAAGTGGTCCTCACTTAATGGCCGGTTGCTTAGCAAGTGTTCTAATTTATGACTGGCCTCCCCAGAACTACTTGACCTGTTTTTGGAGTTTTGCATACACATATAAACATACTCCCTTCCAACCCTGCTGGAGCAGGTCATTGGACTAGAATCGGCAAAGCATCTCTGATTAGATTCTAGTAGTGAATAAAATCTAATCAGAGATGCTTTGCCAATTCTTGTTGATTTGTTTTATTTGTATTTCTTTATTTTATGTTGCTGAATTGCATTGACATGTGTGTCCCTTCTTGTGCACAACCCAGAAGCTTTTGTGATTCTTTGCAGCAAAAATTACCGACCTCTGGCTTTGCTCTACTTTTCAAACGTGCTGGCACTGCCACGTTCTAGGTGCCGGCCCCGCAGGTCCACCCCATTGAGCCTGCGGTACTTGGAGGGACCTGCCCAAGCAAGTCCGAGTGGAGCGGTGCACCAAATCAATGGGGTGAGCCTGGGAGAGGGAAAGAGAGAGAGAAAAGAGAGAAAGAGAGAAGGAAGAAAAGAAAGACAAAAGGGAAAGAAAGAAAAAGGGAAAAAGAAAGGGGGGCAGGGAGGGAGGGAGGGAGGGAGGGAGGGAGAGAGAGAGAGAGAGAGAGAGAGAGAGAGAGAGAGAGAGAGAGCTGATGCATCAGATTGAAATGAGGCCTAGTTTAGATGCCCTTCTCTACATTGAAACATCTTTGCCAGCATCTTTGCCAGCATCTTGAAACATCTTTGGCTTCTATTAAAGGTTTTGTGGATGAAACATGGCCAAGACTATCAGGAAGCTCTCACATTTTGTTGAGGCTTTAAACGGGATCCATTGGACCAGATCTCCACCCTAAAAATTACTTTTCCCCAATGTATTACAGTGCCAATTCTGAAGAAGGCAAAACCAAAATGTATTGGTAAATTATAAGGACAACACACACACACACTCCCTTCTAACCCTGCTGGAGCAGGTGATTGGACTAGAATAGATATCTCATTATCTTTCTTCTCCCTCCCTCCCTCCTTCTTTGTTTCTTTTTCTTTCTTTCCCTTCCTTCCCCCCTCTTTCTTTGTCCCTTTTTCTTTCTTTCCCTTTTCTCTTTCTCTTCTTCCTTCTCTCTCTCTCTCTCTCTCTCTCTTTCCCTCTCTCAGGCTCACCCCATTGACTTCGTGCACCGCTCCATTCGGACTTGCTTGGGCAGGTGCCTCCGGTGCAAGGGGCTCAAAGGGGCGGCAGCGGCGGGATGTTTGAAAAGGAGAGCAAAGCCACTATTCCCAATGCTGCGTACAGGGCGCTGCCCTGCTGCCCCGAACACGGCGGTGGCGGGATGTTTGAAAAGGAGCGGCTTTGCTCTCCTTTCCCAACGCTGCATTTGGGGCGATGCCCGCGGCGGTGGGATGTTTGAAAAGGGGAGCTCTCCTTTCCCAACGCTGCGTTTGGGACGGAGCTCCTTGCACCAGAGTGTGCAAGTCAATGGGATGATCCCACGGGGCCTTGCCTCAAACGCGGCGGCGGGGGGATTTTTTCTCACCCCTGAATTGTGCCCTGCCACTCACCTCCAGCGCCCCCCTGCTGCCTCTTAGCACCTCCCCTGCTGGCCCCCTTGCCTCTCAGCACCCCCCCTAAGGCATCCCCCCCTCTCCCCAGGAGGCGGTACTGCCCACTTCGGAAACCACTGGTTTAGGCCTTCCTACTTTGTTTAAAATAAATGTTCGTTAAAATAAGTCTCTTATTTAAATGTACATTAAAATTAGACTCCTTAACTCTTGATTCCATCAGCCATTAAGTGCTACAATTCCATGCACAGTAAAACGAACAAAATGTCTGTATATTAAGAGGAAAACCATTGAGTGGGTAAGTGAGAAAGTTATGAGAAAAAGTTTTAGAAACCAAAAACAAAAAAAAAACCACTACTCTAATATAATCTATATAAATAATATAAAGATATGAAAATGATAGGATTAGAAAGCTGAGTTTTCTAAGAGCCATGGTGGCACAGTGGTTAAAATGCAGTATTGCAGGCTAATTCTGCTGACTACCAATTGCCAGCAGTTGAACAGTTTGAATCTTGCCAGTTCAAGGTTGACTCAGCCTTCCATCCTTTTGAGGTCGATAAAATGAGGACCCAGATTGTTGGAAGCAAGATGCTGACTCCGTAAACTGCTTAGAGAGAGCTGTAAAAGTGTGTGAAGTGGTATACATGTGTAAGTGCTATTGCTCTTTCAATAAACTATTGAAGCATTTGTTTACAATGAAATTTTTATGAGGGGAGGGATTGCTATCAGCTGATTTCTTCTAGAGATAAGTTACATGGATTTTCTTGATCTTTGATTTAAATGTGGAAAACTGCTGAGACATGTCCCCTCTACTGTCAAATGACTATTTAATATTAAATAATGCATCCTTTCCCCTTTAATCTGCATCAAGCCCTAAGCAGACAACTAATTATGGCTCAGAAAATAACAGATTGAAAATACAATTCAGACAAACCTATTCAAACACACTCTCCCACTGCCCATCGTGGTGGTTTTTTATGAAGATAATAAAGTCAGATAACTGGCCTGAAGCCTTGATTACAAAAAAAAAAAAAAATCTGTGGCTCCTAAGTGCAAATTCAGAAAATTACAGCATTCCTGAAAGAATAGAGAATCTCCTATCAATATGCTGGTGGCAAGGAAGAACAGGATGCAATTTGCAAACTACATTTCTTTGAAACTGAATGCTGAGTATTTTGACTTTCATATAAAAAATAATTTGGTAACATTAAAGTACTCTTATGTCCCATTGATCTTGGTGAAGAAGTTAAGATGTTTTTGATTTTCTCCAATTAAGAACTGTGAGACTTAAAAGTTTCTATGTCATGGAAATTTACTCACCTTGAAGTAAATTCTTTTGAATTTATGTATTTTTTCTATTGCATAAACATGTGCTCAAGCTACACAACACTTAACTTGGGAACACAGTTCAACTTGTAACCCTTGTGGTTCCCCCCAAAAGTCTTTGTTGCTTTTATTGCTGCTTTTTACATCAATCTTAAAATGCAGATTACCAATGGATGTCAGTGGTTATCATTCTACCGTAGTAATCTTTACAACTTGGGATTCTAGGAATTCTGGTCCAAATAAAGGTGGAGAAATGCTTGCTCATAGTACCAATAATTTCTTAGGATCCTCTGATTCAATATCAGTTTCTGAACTAAGCAGTATTCAAACAGAAATGACCCACAAGACAAACACACACACACACACACACACACACACACTGCTGATGTGTGGAAATGCTTGTAATCAGTTTGGAAATGCTTCTCAAACAGCATCTGCTCACAGAATCTGAAATACAATATTGACTACAAATACAGATACATACGGATATACAGATCATACAACTTTTTTTTTTACTACTCTAAGTAACTTGGTCACAACTTCCAGGGTTGCTGGCTTACCTTATTCCTATGAGCCTAGTCATTCATGAAATTACAGTAAATGCGGTCTGGAAGGAAGACTTCTACTTCCACCCTTTATTAAGCATCTATCCAGATCTCCAAGGTTTATAACAGACTCCTGAGTTTAGGAGTTATAGGAAGAACTGGAATGGCGAGTCAAGGGAGAGAAGTTGCCCCTGCCCGGAAACCTATTTACAGAGCCCGGGACCCTGCCTGAAATATCTGGGAGACGAGGTGTCATTCCCCCTCGCGTCCAATAGCCTCTTCTTGAGAGAAGTGGTGGGATTCCTTGGCCCATGCCTGGGCTCCTCTGCCTTCTGGGCTTGCTGGGCTTGTCTAAAAACAGGGTGTTCCCATGCAGAAGACAACTTCCACTACCATGCAGCCCCCTCTGGGGCAAGCTGTTTATGTTTGGAAGTTGGCTGATCCATTTGGCTCCCTCTGGGGATTGGTCTTTCGGAAGATGGTTCCCTCGACACAAGAGCTTCCTTGTTCCATCCAGAAATTTCCTCACGCCACCGAGGAGCCCGTCTGTATTATCTAATGACAGTTTGCTTATTCCATTTGGTGGGTGGGCCTGCGGGTTGTTGCCTTGCTCATCAGAAGATGAAACAGTTGGAGAATTTGGAGGAGTGGTTCTAACTGAATTGGGTGAACCTTCACTGTGGCCCAGAGGGGACTTGCTTTCAACTACTGGGCAACACCTGTCCGATAATCCCTTCAGTGTTTGGGGATTATCATTACTTCTAAAAGAAGGGTCTGGCTTCTCGTCTGAACCGGTGTTCCCCAGAGGGGATTTGCAATTCTTCTGCAGTTGGTTCCAGTTAGCGGGGATCTCATATTCAGTTGAGGCATCTTTGGTGTCTGACTCATTCTGCTGTGTGGGCCAGTCATACGTAGGAGAGCAATCACATTCATAGGGTGACTCATATTCTGGGGAAGTTTTGCCCTCATCTTGTGTTTCGTATATTGGAGGAGTCTCATATCCATAGTGCCATTCATATGGAGAATGGCCATCATAGGTATATCGAGACTTGTGACCCAAGGAAGTTTCATATATACATTGTGACTCAGGTGGAGGAGAGACTTCATATTCATAGTGTGACTCATCAGCAGGGGACCATTCGTAGCCATATTGTGAATCATAGAGTTCATACGGTTTTGTGGGCTTATATATCGGAGAGGCGATATATGTATAATGTGTCCCATATTTCTTTACATAGTACTGGGGAGATGTACTTGTAGAACTCATGCCATAAACAGTGCAGGGACTAGATTCATACTGAGAGTCATATAGGGAAGAGGAAGGATATTCATAAGGCTCCTCTTCTTCTTCTTCCTCCTCCTCCACCTCCTCCTCCTTCCCAGCTTCATATCCCCTGCAGGGGCTGTTCCATCTATCATAGGACTCATATTCATCCAGGGACTCATCTTCTTCATCAGCAGTCTCAGACTTAGCCTCCAACCCAGATCCACAATCCTCCTTGTATTCCGGGACAGACTCAGCCTCTACCTGTATTCCTTTGTCCACTGCTTTTACCTTGTTGCTTTCTTCTTCATCTGTGACCATAGAAACACAAGTCATTGGGTTAAAAAATAAATAAACAGAAAGCAGCTAATTTGTGCACTTCCAGCGGTCTCACTGATAGAAAGACGTGGGGAACAAATTTTCCTCCTTCATGTAAATCAGGGGGTCCCAATCCCTGGTTCGTGGACCAAGCATTAAATGTCCACGGTCAATTGGGAACTGGACTGCGCAAAGTGGTTGGTAGCCATGAAAAGCTTTGGGCATGCGTGGGATCTAGGCTGCGCATATGAAACCATCCCCAAACCCAACCCTGCAGCCAGTCTGTGGAGTCAAAAAGGTTGGGGACCACTGCTGTAAAATCCATTAACTTCCCTTCCATGATGGAAGAAAAGCATGCATCATCCATTCCTTCCTTTATCAAGAACACGTTTTATTCTTGGGGACCAGTTGTTGAATACTGACACAAAATTGCTGGGAGATGGCATGCGCCAGTTTAGGATGAAGTGACATTAATATGTGATGATATATCTCTACCCTGGATCCACTGGGAAATGTGGCGGAAGTCATGACTGAGTATCTGGAAGCCATAAGAATATGGAATCAGGCTCAATCCAAACAAGACACATGACGGTGGATTCAGAAGCAACTGACTCCATGACCGTACAATCAGTAGCTCTTAATGAGATTGTGCTTCTCCAAAGAGCAGGCAAGCAATTTGATAGTCTCTTGGACTCACGACTCCTGCATAAAGAGCAGTCAGCCAGGTCTTTTGCACAATTGTGGTTATTGTGCCAGCTGGATAGACTGAAAGCAGATTGCTCATCATTTCTCAATTATTATATTTTGATCTACATGAGACTGGCATGTGTGCATATTGGTCATTGGTAGTCCTGCCATGTTTTACCCCTGCTTCACAAGTGACGCTGATCGACACTAGGTTTCTGAATGCAATTTAAGGTGATGGTTTGTATTTGGCTAGGGCCTGGGTAACCATGTTTTACTAATAGTTTCTGCCTCTTAAACTAGCTGATCATACGTTTAATCACAGTTTCATTTAGTGACCGCTTTGCTTAGCAACCAAGTTGTCAGTCCCAACTGTGGTCAATAAATGAGGATTACCTGTACTTGCTCAACCAGGGAGCCACAAACCATTCATAAGCAAAGTTTCCCTCCAGCTCAAGAATGTTCCCTCATCATAGCTTTGCTTTCCCCATGAAAACCCTTTTGACACGTCTCAGTTATTACAAAAAACCAGCCTACAATGACTCAATTTAAAATACAGAATAAACACAATTCCTTCTGAAGTTTTCCCTAGGTTTCTTGTTTGATACCAAAAAAGGGATGCCTATATTTTCTGTTAATTCAGGTAAATTATCTTTTGAATTTTTTAACAATGGACTTTTCAGTGGCAATAGATAAATTAATTTTAACTCTTTCAGGGAATGCTTATGGAATATCTAATCCACCTGTATTGACTACAGAAACAAGATTTGATGTATATAGAGTATAAAAGCACAGGTAGTCCTCAATTTATGACCACAATTGAGCCCCAAATTCCTGTTTCATTTTATGACCTTTCTTTCCATAGCTGTTAAATGAATCACAATGGTTTTTAAATTAGTAACACAGCTATCAAATTAATCTGGCCTCCCCCATTGACTCTGCTTGTCAGAAAGTCACAAAAGGTAATTACATGATCCCGGGACACTCTGTCATAAACATGAGTCAGTTGCCAAGCATCTTAATTTTGATCATATGACCAGGGGGGTGCTGCAACAGTCGTAAGTGTGAAAAACAGTAATAAGTCACCTTTTTCAGTGCCATTGTAATTTTAAGCGCTCACTAAATGAACTGATGTAAGTCGAGATCTACTTCTACAATCAGTGCAGTGGTGGGATTCAAAAATTTTTACTACTGTGGGCGTGGCTTGGTGGGTATGGTAGTGGAAGGTTACTGCAAAATCCCATTCCCACCCCGCTAACCTGCTTTCCAGCTCTGTTCTCCTGTGCAGGGCAACAAAAGAAGACCCAGCCAATCAACTGGGACTCGGGAGGCAGAGAATAGATGGGGGCGGGGCCAGTCAGAGGTGGGATTTGCCGGTTCTGTGAATTACTCAAAATTTCCGCTGCTGGTTCTCCAGAACTGATCAGAACCTGCTGAATACCACCTCTGAATCAGTGTCTGAGAAGTTGCAAAGTCTCAACTCTCATACTTTTCCATATTTCTTCTGCAACTTCCAATAAAATTGTGTATATCATTCTCTTCCCACATCCCTAATATCACAACTCCTTACCAGGAACTTCAACAGATTTTAGTTCTCTCTCTTCTTTTCCTTCTACTCGTTCAGAATCTCTCTCGGGGGGCCTGGAAAATCAACAGTTGTATTAACCAATAGATAACAAGTAGACATGATTTATTTATTTATTTGTTTATTAAATTTATATGCTGCCCATCTCACTACCCAAATGAGTCTTTTGATGGAAATTCTTTTCTTACTTCCTGTAGGTATGGCTTGTTTTTAAAATCAATCAGATCTTTTACTTGGCACAACTAGAAGAGCTGCGATTGCAGTGACCCCATTTTATGGTGGTTTTTTTTTTGGCAGTGGTCATTAAGCAAAGACTATAGTTGCTAAAAAAAAAAAACACCATTGTCTGCAATGGCCATTCTTTGCCAGAAACTGGAAACAAATGCAAAATTATTGTAAATCACAGCCTGAACTCCTGTGACCACATGACATTGCAAACAGTTGTAAAAGTGGGCCATTTGCTTGAGTGCCCAAAATATGATCACATGACACAGGGGGGTGTTGCTTACCATTTGAAATTTTAATCTGGGTCATAAGTACTTTTTAGGGGAGAGTCCATTATAACTTTGAACAGCCTTAGCAACTGGTAGTACATCAAGGATTACCCAGGTAGTGAGAAACCGATATCTGCAAACTGGGTGTATCTACTCAAATGAAGAGAAGGATATTAAGGTCTTGGGATTTAAGAGCCAACCAGCAGTGAAGCTGATGCAATATAGGATGATGCAATAAGAATGAATCAGAATAGCATGGGTATTTCCCTTTAAGACCGGGGATGGGTTCTATCCCTTTAAGAGGTGTTTATATAAAGGCAGCCATAAGAGGGCATGTCCCCTCTCCTTGTGTCCGGTATTCATTTCAGAGGTCTCCGTGTAGAATTAAGAAGAAGAAAGATTGCTTGTAGGGTATTTTGCCTACCACATATATTTCTGTATATAACTGTTGTATATAAACCACTGTTAAATGTCTACGTCTCTGTGTGCTGTGATTTGCTCATGGGTTGTCTCATAATGGTAGTCACACTACAAACACTCTGACAAAGGACCGTGGATAACATGTTATCAGTCTTTCAATATTTGAGATGCTGTCATAAAGAAGAGGAAACAACATTTTCTCCAAAGCACTTAAGGACAAGACAAGAAGTAATAGATGGAAAGTTATCAAAGAAAGATCCAACCTATAATTAAGAGAAATTTCCTGACCATGAGAACATTAATGAGTGGAATGGCTTGTCTTCAGAAATTGTAGTTGCTCCAGCATTGGATGTTTTTAAGAAGAGATTGGGTGGCTATTTGTTCAGAATGGTATAGGGTCTCCTGCTTGGGCAAGGAGCTTGACTAGAAGACCTCCAAGGTCCCTTACTACTCTGTTGTTCTATATTTCTGTATTTCTGTACTAAGAAAACCACTTCTTGGGGAAATATGGTGAGCTGAAGATGGCTGTGGCAAAGACCAAGGAACTAGTAAGTAGATCAGTTCCTTAGAACCTCTCAGGATAAGAGAGCAAGAGACAACAGTGTCCTGTGGGTTTGAGTGCTGGGAGATTATGGGATTAGCCATCTTGCTTGCAACCACGGCAGAGGCTTTTAAAGCACACTATATTTGCAAACCTCACTTTTTAATCACTTTCAGAAATTGCCTGTTAACCATTTTAATGGTATTAGAGATCTTCAAAATGAAAAGTCTGAAATGTCTTTGTCGGGTGAATTTATCTTCAACTCTCAATTAAAGAAGATTTTTGTAAGCTTAGGAAAGAATTTGAAATAAAGACCATAAAGCTAAATAAGATTTTGATCAATAGAAGTTATTATCAGGATAAAAGGTCCAGGTAAATTCAGAATATTGTTTTTATTACTATCAGATTTTGGAACTAACAATAAAAAATAAACAGTTTCTAATGGAAAACAGACTTTATCCTGGCTATTATAAGTTCCAACAAACATTAAGTGATTGTTTTAGAAATTGGACACTAGAGGGAACTAAAGGTTGCAAGCAGAGGGGGGAAATGTACAAGCCTGTTCTTGATGTTGATTAATATTGGGGCTACCAAAATGACACAAAATCTTATAACATCAAAATATTAAAAGACATCTTTGAAGAATGGACCCAGAAATTAGTAATTACAATATCAATACTGTTAGTAATTATGTCTGCCTTTATGGATAGACTGAGTCTAAAAGACGTTAATGAAGACAGGAAAACAAATTTTATCTGAGAAGAAAGTACCAATAGTAGAATGTCAAGTGGCAGGCCAATATTCCAATGATTTGGAAAAGATGCTTTATTGAATTCACAAAAGAAACTGGCTGAAGTTTTAAAAATTAAAAGGGAAATTCAAATGATAAACCAACAAAATGACCTGGAATATATTTTCTTGTTGGATCTACAAAAGAGGCTTGTTAAAGGCTTGAATAACTCTGTATGATGAGATAAAGAAGAGAAATCAAATCCTATGACACTATTTGATTGAATTAAAGATTGTTAGGAGTAAAAGAAAGAAATATAAAGTGATTTATTTGATCAAGGTTAAAATAAGACTTTTCTGGCAACTTTATGTCCTTTTTTCTGACACCAAGATTGAAATTTGATGTTTATGGATTTGCTTACAGATAAAAAATAGATATGGTATCTGTTTAACCTTGTAGGGCAGAGGTCTCCAAACTTGGCAACTTTAAGACTTGTGGACTTCAACAAAGCTGGCTGAGGAATTCTGAGAGTTGGAGTCCACAAGTCTTAAAGTTGCCAAGTTTGGGGACCCCTGTTGTAGGGGATGAAATATTATTAATTTGTATATACTTATGATTAAGTTACCTTTTTATATATTTCTTTTTTCTTTATTATATCTTTTTCTTGTTTCCTCTTTCCTTTTTCCTTTGTCTCCTCTTTCTTTTAGTTTACTTTAGTTTTACTATTGTAATTAAAATCCTTAATAAAATTATATTAAAATGTACTGAAAACCATTACAAGGTCATATTTGATTCTGTTTCATATGGAGTCTACTGAAAATTACTCTGTGCTATTTGATTCATTATTGCATTTGTATACAATCTGTTTCAAAGTAAACTTTAACTGAAAGAATTTTACAAAGAGCCCCAAAATGTCATTCCCCTGAATTCTAGGCATATTTGTTAAGAAATGTTCATTCACCTTGGCCTCTGGTCATTTTTTTATTTCATTGAAACAAAGACTTGACAATATTTACACATTCATTGTCTAGATCAGAGGTGTCCAACCCTGAGCCAAAGGGCTCTATGCACACCTGGACAACTAGCCCCACAAAACAGTAAATCTTTAACATTATGTGATTTACAATATATACATTAACTATATTTATATTTTATATACATCCCAAGACAATTCCTCTTCACTCAATGCAGTCCAGCCGAGCCAAAATGTTGGACACTCATGGTCTAGAGTCTAGCCCATAATGAATAGTGGACAACCCTTTAAAACATAAATACATTGAACAATTTCATCTGTTTATTGAAGTATTTATCTTTTGTTTACTTCTATGCACAATATATCATGAAAATCATTTAAACTAGGAGAAATAAAAACTGGAATTGAAATTGCTGAGAGAAACATCAAAACTTCAGATACTAGTTTGATGAAAACATCCTAAAGAAGGTAATGAAAATATAAAATCTGTTTTCTGAATGATATTAAGAAAAATAGATTATGTCAACAGGTAACGCCTTTCAATACCAACAAAGAAGAAGTAGTAATGGGCTTAAAATTTCACAGAGATGGTATCCATGGAATTAAAAGATGACTCTGCTACTTAGAAGAAAATCTATAAATCTGGACAAAATATTAAAGTGCAGGAACACTACAAAGATACATATTTTCAAAACCATGCTTTTCTGGGTTTTAATATAATGACATGAAAGTTGAACCACCTAACAGAAAATATTGGGACTGTAGGACTATAGTGCTGGAGAAAATAGCTGAGAATACCTTGGATGTCGAAAGAACAAATCAGTCAGTACTAGATAAAGTAAAGCCAAATTACTCACTAGGAGTATTAAAAACAAAGCTAACACCAAAATATTTTGGCCCTAATACAACTAACAAAGATGAATACATTTGAACAAGACTACAGAACAACTGAAGACAAAAAAGGATGCTGACAAAAGACAGGGTAGATAATCTCACAGATGACAAAAACTGAAGTTTTATTTATGAAATATCAGAGATGCAGTTTCTGACAGATAATCCAGGATAAATTATGTCCATTGTGTCACAAAGAGTTGGAAAAAACTGGACAACTAGAACCTTGGACTTTAATTTTGTGCTGAATGTTGGGAAGAGGTTTTGTTTGGCTTTTTAAGCAGTTCACCATTAGTAGGGTAATGCAGAAATAATTTGTCTTTTGCACTTGAGCCTATGTATACTTTTAATCATGGCTTAATTTGGAAATTCGTTCAAGACATTGGAGTCCTGCCCAGTGTCCATCTTTGTTAGGATATTTGTTTAACTTACTAAGACAGTCTCTCTTTACCATCCCATTACCTCCCAGCACATGGTATCACAGCTGCCCTGCATTGCGGTTTTGTACGGCTGAGATAAAATTCCTACCTTTTCCTGGTGATGATGTTTTTTAAACTGAAGACTTTAGGATCAAGAGTGAAGAAACATAAAGATCTTTTGGGGCCAAACGTTATTGAAACACCTGCAAAGGAAGGTGACAAATGAATTGCTGGGAATGTAAACAGTAAGTAATACTGCTTTGACATTTCTCTACTTAACATTTCTTCCGGCGTCATCTCATTCAGTCATTCCTGAAGCATAAGGACTGCCCTTATGACTCTTATCAGCACAAGAAGAGTTGGGGTTCTAGAACAAGGGTCTCAAATAATCATATCAAGACAGGTTCATTAGTCTAGAGGCCAGAATACCTCACAAGCATTGGTTAAAAAAATATGTAGTGAGTAAAAACTGAGGAAAATAAAAAGTATATTTGTTTATATATCAAATTGGGAGACTGCCCGTCTCTCTCATAGAATGACACTGGGTAGTGAACAACAAAAACATTAAAACCATATAAATATTATATTTTTGTAGGAGGCAGTTAAGATTTATAATGATTAGTTATTAGTCATTAATACTAAAGGTATTAATTTCAAAACAAAACAAAACCCTCCCTGTGAATCAGAGATATTTTACTTTGGTCACTTAGCAATTTTCAATCATCAGACACCATTAGCTTTTATTTTACTTCTGGATTGATATATAATATTTTAGCTTTTATCTAAGATTTAAATCTGCCTAAATTCTGCTGTTCTTTTTTCTTTCTCTCTCATCTTCTTGAGTAGAGACACAAATATATTCTTGTTTGGTCTCCCTTTTCTCTCCCCTTCACTGGCCAAGCCCATCCTTTTCCTCCTTTACTGTAGTTGCTTGCTCAAAATCTTTCCCATTCCTTCCTTGGTAAAAAGACCTTTATGCCAGACCCAGCCCTCATTGCTGATTGCCTCGTCCTTCTCTCCTATGAACATCTCAGAAGCATTTCCTGTTCTGGTTGGTCACTCATGTTCTGATAATCTCCCACTTGGACTATTACATTGTACTCTACATTGAGCTGCCCTTGAAAACTATCCAGAAGCTTAAACTGATACAAAATGAGGCCGAGTAAAAATTTTGGACACCCAAAGAATGGTGGATATAACACCTCTACAGCTTGAGCTGCATTTGATGCCAGTTTGCTTCCAGGTCCAATCCAAGGTGTTGGTTATGAAATTTAAAGCCCTATCTAGCATTGGGCCAGTCTACCTATGGAACCATCTTCATCCCATTACATTAGCCTGTCCTTCCCTGTCAGGCAGGGAAGGTATATTCCAAACCCCATCAATTAAAGAATTTTAAGTGGTGGAATTCAGGAAGAACATCTTCTCTGACATTGGCCCCATCCTGTAGCACCTTCTTCCCCCAGAGGTGAGGCAGGGTCCATTCACCTGACCTTCTGGAAAGGTTGAAAACATGGTTCTGCCCTCTTGTTTGGTGTTCACAGAGAGCAGGCAGTTATGGGGCTGATTAGCACCTTAAAGTCCCCCACCTTTTAATAAATATTTAGTGTCAAATTTTAACCATATTTGCCTCTATTTGAATTTTTTATATTCATTTTTTTAAAACTTTTTATTTGCACACTGCCCAGAGTCCCTCTGTGAGGGAGATGCGGTTACTAAATGTGATAGATAGATAGATAGATAGATAGATAGATAGATAGATAGATAGAT